CGAATGTACCATATAAGATTGATCAATAATCACTCAATCTCTTGGCATGCCAATTGTACTGCTAACTCTCAATACACGTACAATGGGCTTATTTAAAACTCATATCATTCATTCATCAAAAGTATTCCAATGTACTCATATATCAAATTTTCATAAAGCAGTGCATTGGGTAGTTCATACATGAAATCATTCAAATCTTTAAATAAAATATGAAGAAAATATCATAATATAAATCAAATCATTTTTCACTGTCAAACTTCGAAGATTGGCTCATCACAAGCCAAATTATTCAAAACTCATTTAACAAAGCATTATGACAATATCATAATACGACTCAAAACCTTTTTTCTTTTAAAACATTCGAGGTTGACTCGTCGTAAGTTTTCTTCAATCATATACAAATAAGGTAGAAATGCACACATTATGTTCCTCACTATCAAACCTTTCACGTAGATATTCCTTTACTTTTCGTACTTGATCTTTCACTTAGATTCGCTTTGATCACAAGATTTATTGCGATATTCAAGATCATATACACAACATATATTCAAAGCATATGTTAGTATTGTATTAACATAAGTAAAATCTAATGATAATAATCCATAAAATATATTCGATATAGTTGACATAAGAATCATTTCACCATACAATAACAACCTTAACATTTCCAAAATAACTCTCCAATTCCATATATATTCATTTTTATCATCAATCCACTTAACTTCATAAACTTGCATTCCAAAAACTATTATGAATTCTTTTAGAATTCATTCTAACCTTTCCAATTTATTCAAAATGGTCCCTTGCCATTTAACCTCAAATTCAAGCATTTAATAACATGGTCAAGCCATCTAACATTTTATTCAGCATAGTACATCAACTTCAATCAATTTCTACTTCATTTCTATAATTTTTGACAACTTGCACTACATTTAAAGAATCATTATTTTGTATTAATCTACACACTGGAATTTAATTCCGTTTATTATGTTTGAAACTATATTCGAATACAAATCTAACCATAAATTACTCATTCTAGTTTGACTTGTACAATTTATAGTAAATTTTCTAATCGAATTTCTAGAATCTGTTTTGAGCAGAATTTGCTGCCCTATTTTTCTAACCTATCATCGATAAAAAAATTATATCTTTTCTATACACTTTGAAATCAATCTCCGTTTGCTTTAAATGAAACTATATACATAACACAACAATATAAGAATCACCTCCTAAAATTTTTTATATAATTTCTGGTGATTTTTAAAACTTACTGCCAAATTAAAAAATCTAAACAATTCTCATTGTTTTGCATCCTTAATTTCTTCACTATGGCCAAATGATATAGGGTGTTTTTAGCATGGTTTTCACTTTGATTCAAGCATGAATTCAAGCTCCTAACATCAATTTCATGTAATTCTAAACAATTCCATGTCAATTTCAATTAAAATTTTCAACTTCAATATAAACCCTAAGTGGTCAAAATCAACGTAAGCACCTCCAAGTGATTGCAATCATCATATAAGCATATAAATGCTTCTCTAACATCAACTACATCATAATCCATCCTTAAAACATAAAAACCTAACATCACCTTCATCCATCCAATTTAAGAACCTTATTCATCCATCCAATTCAAGAACTTAAGGTTTTAGGCATGAAAAACATGAACTAATAATACCAAATGGTAGAGAATTTCATATAGATTAATTATCTATTTCATGTTTTAATCTAACAATTAAGTATTCAAGCTTAAAAAATGAAGGGAAAAAAAGAAAACTTCTTACCTTGTATGGTGTTCACGGCTTGGAGAGAAAGATGAACAAAGAAATCTTGAAATTTCTTCATCTTTCTTTACTTAATAAATGAATTAAAATTCATTTAATTCCAAATTACTAATTTACCCTTAAAATTTCAAATCCTTACTATTTTAACCTTGAATTTCATGATAGTTTCTTAATTACCATGCTTTCATCATCCCTTACATCATCATAGTCAAATATGACTAGCTAATTTCTCATCTTCAAATTTTTTCCTTGTAATTTTCAAAAATTGCAATCTAGTCACTTAAATCCAACTGTTTAAATTTAACATGGAAAATCAACTTAATTCCAATGATTCATATTAAATATTTCAAATTTAGGACATGGAAAAATATTTTTAATCTTGCCTTATGATCCTTCAAAATATCCCAAAAATCGATTTGATCCGATTATCCGAATATTTCTCGAACTCTATCGCTTTATAGCTTTTAATACAAATTCATACGAAAAATTTGATTCCCACGGAAACATCATTCTTGGGGGCAAACTATTCACTTATAGGGCCATATTACATAACTTTTAAAATTACATCTTGGTCCCTAAACTTTCCTTAAGTTTACACTTTGGTCACAAAACTTTCAAAATTTTATTTTGTTCATTAGTCAAAATTTTGGGGTATTACATTATCGGTGGTTGAAACTTATTTAACAAATCGCCTGCAACTACCGATGACTTTATTCTAATTTTATTTTATATTTTTAGGACCAAACTAAAAGAAAATTAAAAGTACAAGAAGTAAAATGAAATTTACAAAAATACTATAATAAGATGAAATATTTTTGAATAGTATGTGGTGATTATAAGATACTATTTATTTATAATTTTTTAATCAATTGATGACATGCACACAAATATAGATACATATCTAAGTCTTCTAAAGAGAACAATATTTTTTATCATGAACTCAAAATAAGTTCATAAAACAAAATATTGAATTTAAGGAAGACATCCAAAATTCACCTAGAACTAATTTATGATTTTCCCCTCACTTTCATTTTTTTACAATTAATATCAAAATGCAATACAATAAAAAATACTTAAATACAAAAGGTGCCCAACCTATGCCCCATTTTCCAGTTTAGTACCTAACATTTATTTCTTCTAGTTTGATGTCTAACATTTTATTCCGGTACTCAAAATGGGTCAAGCCATGACGGACCGTTAGTTTTCTCCGTTAAGTTAACGTGCCACAATCTCGTAATTTAGAATTTTTTAAAAAAATTATTATATTTATTAAAAACCTTATTTCTTTTAAATTACAAAAAAGCCTCAAAATCCTTAAAATTCTCAAATCCTAACACTAACCCTCTATCGTCGTTCTTTCTGGCCACGACCACCACCGCCGACATATTCATTGTCATCATCCTAATTATAAGTCGTCGTAGTTGTCGAAATCGTTTTGGATTGCGATTTTCATCCTAGGGTTCGCGAGGTATAAAACGACAATTCGCCATCCATCGACCGTTGATCAGTCACGGTTTCATAGGGATTTTAGTCACCGGGTGGAGGTGAGCTCGAGTGGAGCTTCGTCGACAGCAAAGGGGATGGTCGGCGAAGGTTTTCAAAGTTTTGGAGTTATTTTTGAAATTTATGTGTTTTCTTTTTTAAAAATATATAATTTTTTTTAATTTTATATATATTTTTAAAATTATCAGATTGTGACACGTGTCACTTAACGAAGAAAACTATCGGTTTGTCACGACTTGACCCATTTTAAATAACATAATAAAACGTTAGACACTAAATGGAAACGAAATAAACGTTAGACACTAAACTGAAAAAAGAGCATATATTAAACACATTTTATATATTTAATCTTAAAATAAAATATTAGAATAAAATCATTAACAAATAGATACATTATCAAATTATCCTCAAATTATATCAAAATATTCTTTTATTTATCAACGATTTTATAAATTATTATAAAAATATCCATATTTCTCTAATTAATCTTATACCATCCTCAAATTCTTAATTTTTTTCAAACATATTATTATCCACCTCTCCAATAGGAAATTACTGCATAAATGAAGTAAATGGAACATCATGAGTTCTAAGTAAGGGCCTGTTTGTTTGGCTGTAATTGGTTTTTTGAAAAATGAATTACTGGAATTTGAATTACTGGAAAATGAATTACTGAAATTTGAATTTTAAAAATGAATTACATTTCTGGAAAATGTTTTCCGGAAAATATTTTCCGTAAAATGAATTACATTTTTTTGAAAAACATTTGGAAAACGTTATATAATATTTGGAAGATGTTATTTAAACATTTTTTCCACTAGTTGATGAGTTTTTAAAAAATTATTTATTACAAATATTAAATACAATAAATAATATTATTTATCATAAAACTTAATATTTTTTTAAAAAATTAAAAAAATTTATTATTAAATTATATTATAATTATATAAATTATAATAAAATTATTTAAAGTAATAGTGTTATATTATATTTTAAAAATATTAATTAGTATATTTTAAATATCTTTATTAAAATATTATTGATTATATTAATATTAAATATAAATAATATTATTCATTATTAAATATAAAAATTTATTATATATTTATTAAAATAAAAATATAATATCTTATATTATATAATATAATTATTATTTTATTATAATATTAAAATATAATATAATATTATTATAAATATTAACAAATATATTTAAATATTTTAATAATTAATATTTTGATAAAAATGATATTAAAATATTTATTAATATTAAATTCATAAAATAAATTATTTGAGTATTTATTCTTTGAAGTGAAAAGTTAAGAAAATGACTTATGAAAAATCAGACCGTAAGTCATTTTTCAGAAAACACAAAAGAATTTTGTTGACCAAGAAAATGAATTAAGTTGATCAACCAGTTTTTCTTCAACCAAACACTGAAAAACATTTTTCTAAAATGAATTACGTGAAACAAACACGAAAAAATATTTTCTAAAAAACAATTACATAAAATAAACATTAAATTTCAAAAAAACAATTCTATAATTCATTTTACGGTAAACAAACGTATATAATTTCATTAAATAGATCCTGTCATCCCAAGCATGACCTTAAGACACAAACTACGGAAGTACATTTTCCAAGGCCATAAAAGTCAACTTTCTTATCCCTGTTAAATTCTTCTTCCTGTAACAGATCTGAGATCATTGCCCATAACCTGTTGTTTTGGGGGTTAAACGGTAGGTACTGTAAGTCTGTAACAATCAAGCTTTTCCTTTTAGGGTAAACCAAACCTCCCTGATTTGTTTCATTTTCTCATCATTAAAGATTCCACTTTTGACTTTTCACTGAGCTTCCAAAGATCAAAACTTGTAATCTTTTTGATCTTCTGTGGTGCTTTGTTTTTGCAGGTCAATCTGGGATTTTTTTTTCTCATATGGATACTGCCCCTCATGCTGATAACCCTACTGAAGTTGTTAGTCCTCACATAGATATCCATCAAGATCTCTTTCCAGAGTAAGTTTTTCTTAGTTTTGTTTCTTCTTTATTTCTGCACCCAGTTTTGTTACGTTGTTTCTATTAGCTCAATTTCTTGCATAATCTGTTGGGATAAGTTTTGATGTTGTGAATTGTGATAATGAGAGTTTTGGTTTTCTTCTTGGAAGGTGAACTGTGTTGGAAAATTGAAGTTCTTGTATGAAAAATCAGCAAATTTATGTGTAAGATAGTTTGCATGTGATGAATTGAAGGTTTGTTACCAGAAATTGAAGAATTTTCAATTTAGGGATGTTTTTCTTTGCTTTGAGAAAGTCTGGAAAACCTAGTTTTTTTTTCATAATCAGTTTTTGGTTCTGAAACTTTGATGTTGAATGGCTGCATATGAATCTAACCCTGTTTTTGACAATGTTTAAAATGACCTGCAATCGGATCTACAGTAATTAGCTACCTACAAAATCTTACATTTCTGAAACCCTGGGCATAAATTATCATTCATGAACTGAAATCGTCAACTGTTGAACAATGTTTTCTTGTTGTTCTGGTGTATTCATCAATTAGTGAGCATAGCAACCTGTGTTGCTCCGATTCTTCATTTTCTTTTTGGAGTACATGTTAATTCATATTCGGATATGGGTATAGGATATTGCCCTCCAAGTACATGGAAATTGAATGTACTAGTGTCAGATGCATACCTATATCTGACAGTCACAGCCAAGTCTGAGTAACATTAGTAGCTTCAGCTTATGTTAAATGTGCTTAATTATGTTTTCTTGAACGCAATTTTATCCCAATTGCAGTTACTATGGTGGTACGGCTTCCAGTCTGTCTGCGCCAAAGGACAAATTTCTGGGAAATGATATCAATAACGGAAGTAACAAAGACGAATTTCCGGGAAATGGTATCCAGCATGGAAGTAGCAATGGTCCTGTAATTGAAGAGAATAATTTCCCTGCACCCCCAGCACCGGTTCTACTCGATAGTTTCCCTGCACCACCAGCACCAGTTCCACTCGATAGTTTCCCTGCACCAGCACTGGTTCCACCCGGCAGTAGCGGCGAAGGTTTACCTTATGCTCCTAGAGATTGGCCAAATGCCGGTGATATCTGGAGCTGGAGGGTGGGGAAGAGAGTCAGCGCTTCTGGCTTCTTCAACGATAGGTTTATCAACGTTCCAGAAAGTCTTCGAAAGCCAAATGTTCCAAATACTTTACAAGCAAGCATATGATTGAACGTTTTATCCGATCAAATTTCCCTGGTGCAGATATTGACGCGTTCTTTGCTTCGTTTGTTTGGAAGATCCCTGCCCTTGTGGAACCTTCTTCCAAAGGTTTGCTGAAAAACATTTAGGTTTTATGTTTGGTGCTGCTTTTTTCCATCTTCTGAGAAAATTTGGTTTCTGACTTTTTTTTTTTTAAGGAAGTTCAAATGCACACACACTCACACATACATATATTTTGATGAAAATTTAGAATGCATATTGATAATTTAAGTTTTGGTGTTTAATTATAGACTGAGTGATCTCATTGGGTTAGCGTACCCATGTCGATGGGATTTAACCATTAAGGCTTGTTTGAGGGGTATCGGGACTGAATGAGTCAAATATTTAAATTTCATCTTTTGTTTCTGGTTTTAACTTGGTTGCAGGCCTTGATATAGCATTTTATACGTCTTTAAAGTCCTTTGGTCCTTACATGACCAATTAGGTGTAATTCAGATGTCCTTGAAGGAACTTCTTAATGCAGGCACTGTTTTTTTTTTAAAGGTAAGAATTATTAAAGCGAAAAACCATACAAAAACATTGCTAGGGGCTCGTTAAAAAACCTCCCTAAGCCTAAGTAGAGGAAAAAGAGTGCACCCAAAGTAATATTTGAAGATACCACATCCAAGCCTCGACAAGCTTGCATCAAATCGAAATATAGCCACACAACTGCTACATGCTAAGAACACTAAAATTAGGCAGCAACATAAAAAGAAAAGAGAATGAAATCCCCACTGCCCTGCACCAGAAAACAGCAACCTTTTAAAATTAAACCTCTTAAAACAATATAGCACGATAATGATCAGTATGACACGCACACCCAACGAGTTACATAGATTAGCCATCCTCATCAAATATGTTAGTTCTTTTTTAATTACATGGGTTGTCGTAATTGAGGACAGTGTCTAGCTATGTGTTAGTTAGGCTGTCAACGAATGTGCCTGCTCGGATTAGTAACATGTTCATCATTTTCTGCTTGCGGAAGTGAACCTATCCTGCCTGTAGACTGACCAAGTGCAAGTGAATTAGTACTAGGAGCTTATTTGTAATTTTTAATTACATGAGTTTCCCTAATTCTTCTTAGCTGTAAAAGGTTGTAGTTTTTAATTACATGAATTGCCTAATTAGACATATTCAAACTGTATCTTGTGTAACTCTGTGTTTTATAGTGAAAGGCTTAGTGACTGTGGACGTAGGAAGTTTTTCTCTTTCCAACCACATGCATATGGTGTTCTCGTGCGTTGCTTCGTCCTTTATTTCTTACGGTTTCTTCTGCTTGTTTAATTTTGTTAGTTAAACTAAAGTTGTCTCCCAACAAAGTTGACATAATGTTATTCAGGCTTCGGACATTTTTTTTTCCAGAAAGAATCGATAAACATTTCTTCATGTCGAGTTGAGATGAAGCGCAATTATCCAAATTGATTCATTTCCCGTCATTCTTGTTTCATATAGGGATAGGGAAATTGTTGGCATGGTAGTCCATGTTATACTCATTCGAATTTCTGTTCTTTTTGCCTGTTAATCGTAATACTTCCTCTCTTTTATGTGATGAATGCCAGATGTCCCCCTCCAGTGCCAGTAGAAGCAGCGCCAGCGGAAGGAAGGAAGATGGTAAAAAAGAAAACGACAAAATAACTCCCCGTAGAACTGGTAGGAAGAGGGCTCCTCCCCCACCTCCATTCATCACTCCGACTCCGAGTGCCAGTGAAAGTCAGAAAAGCAGAAGACATCTAAAGGATCAGCCAATCTCAAGGATCAGCTGAATCTAAAGGATCAGCCAAGCCTAAGCGAGAAACTCGCAGGAATATTAAAGATTCCGCCCCACCCGAAGTTGAAATTCAAGATACAAACGATGGTCTTAATGATGTGTCTTTCTTAGACGATGAAACATGAAGAGGTTAGAATTGTTAATATTTACATTTTCCTGAAAATGATGTTTTGCTTCTTCGTTTCATTTGCCTTTTGAAATGGTTGCAGCGGAGTTGACAACTACCTCAATTCGTTGGATGAGATTCTTGTTCAGACTCAACCATCGTCTGAAGAACCAATTTCCGAACAGGCAGAGATGCATAACTTCTTTGCAGCAGAAGGTGAAATGGCTGAAGCTCGAAGAAAACTATCTTCACTTCTCGATATGGATTTCCCTTCATTGATTTGCTTCAAAGACCTCAACGAACTTGCCAGTCTAGCGTCCAAACTCCGGAAGGATCCCACCCTTACAGCCGAACAACTCGTGAAGCTGAAGCTAGTAGAAGAGATCCCAGCATTCTGCGAGGTGTTCCTCGAGAATAGGGAAGTAATGGAGCAGGCAGACAAGTTCTTTACAGCCCTCGAGGAAAACAAGGCCAAGGTTAGTTCACTGAAACAAGAATACAGCGAGTTAAAACAACAAGTGACGAATGTACAGTCCGAGGTAGAGTCCAGAACAACAACCGTGCAAATATCGACAACCAGATAGCACAACTCAAAGCCCGATGCGCCGAGCTCACAAAACTGATAGATAAGAAGAATAGAGATAAGGATGAATTGATATATAACCAGAAGTTGGTAGCAAACTCTATCCCGAAAGTGGTACACGAAGTTCAGATCGCTAATGCCAAAAGACCGGAATGGGAGCTAAAGAAGGAGAACGGAGTGAGGCGGGAGGCCGAAATACTCGCGAAATTTGCTCCCCTGAAAGGGTTTTCCCTCTGAACACCATAGGTATGGGGACTAGTGTTTAATTCCTAGAGTAATACTAACCAGTGGTACTTTAGGGTTGGAGGATTGTGGTACTTAAAATATATCTGTAGCAATAGGGAGTTGTGTAATTCTGAGTGGTGAAACATGAGCTCGCAGTGTTTGTATTTTAACTTCATTAGAACGGTTATATTTTAATTTTTAGAATATTTGAAACATTACAATAAATTTTATAATGTATTATGTATTACAGAATCATTACTATAAAGCGATCTCATTAGTTAAGGAATTATTATTATCTCTTAAGGTCTCGGGTTTAAGCACCGTGTATGCAGGGATATGAGGTTTTATTATCATAGAGTTAAAATAAATCTTTGAATAAATACTATCTCCTATTCATCTCAAATTTATATGTATAATATAAAACATTGCAAGTGTACATGATTAACTTATAATTCAAGGTGAGTACTATAAATATATCACGAAATTTTTAATTAATTAATTATACTAAAATTTTATCATATTCATTTTATGGTAAAATATTTTAAAATTAATAAAAAAAATTTAAAAAAAATACAATGTATGAAGAATTCACTTATATTTAAAAAACTAACAAATTATTTTTTAAATAATAGTTATTATAATATAACTAATATTAAACAATTTATATTGTTATTATTATAAGTTTATAAATCAGTACTTTTTATTTTATATTTTAATTTTACATATTTTTCCAACTGACTACTGAAGAAAAAATATTTTATGTATAAAATTATACACTAAAAAATAGAAAGAAATATGTATGTAAAATTTTATATTTGAAAAAAATAAATTACAAATTGATTATAGACGGAGTAGTGAAACGAGTATTACATGAAACATCAAATTGTAATAATTTATGTAAAAAATCGATTAACTGTTAAACATCCCAAACCTCAGTGTCCCTGATCTTGAACCTTAGATCTGTCAGCTTGTAATTCCGGAAATGAAAACTCTCAAAAGATCAAAAAAAAAATTCAATATTTTGATCCTTTGGGTGCAATATGTTTGCAGGTCAAACTAATGATGCCAATTCCTTCTCCCTCTCGTATGGCTACTTTTCCTCCTACTGATAACCCTACCACACATAGATATCCATCAAGATCTGTTCCCAGAGTAAGTTTTGTGTTTGTGGTTTCATTTCTTCTTTATTTTTTAACCCGATTGTAGTTTCAGTGTTTCTGTTTGCTGATTTTTCTTACATATTTTGCTGTTGGGTGAGTTTAATCTGATGATGATGTCTGATGAGAACTTGGGTTTGTAAGAATGTTTGTGGAGTGAAGAAAAAACTGTTAGAACATGCAAAAACACTACCGAGCATGTTACTCATGTATGTAAGAAACGATGTTCTTCTAGTTGTTCCGGTGTATGTTGCTCCAATTCTTCATTTTTCTGTACACATTTTGATATACATGTGCTGAAAAGGGTGTCGGATATAGCCCTCCAAATACATGGAAATTGAGCAAAACCCGTGTCCGAAACGTATGTATATCCGACACTCGAAGCTGAGTCCGAGTAAGATTAGTAGCTTCATTGTATGTTCGTATGAATTTTGGAGTAAAGATGCAATTTATCCCGATTTGCAGTTATAATGCTGGGGTGCTTCCACTCCGTGTGAGCCGAAACACAGATTTCCCGGAAACGATATCTATAATGGAGGTAACCATTGTGCTCCTGTAATTAAAAGGGCTGCCCCCACTTCCCCTTTAAGTACTCTGAGTTCCAGTGATGACGAAACTGCAGAAGACAACTAAAGGATCAGCCAGAACTAAGCAACAAACTCATCCGCGACTTACAGATTCCTCCCCACCCCCATCCGTAATTGAAGACAAACGATGGTCTTGATGCGTCTTTCTTAGACAATGAAATCGGAGGAGATTAGAATTTGGAATATATACATTATCCTGAAAATGGTTCTTCGTTTCTTCCTTTTATTTGGCTTTCGAATGGTTGCAGCTGAGTTCAACAACTACCTTAATTCATTGGATGAGATTCTTGTTCAGCCTTGGTTACAAGAACCATTTTACCATCCCAACTATGCATAAGTTCTTTGCAGCAGAAGTCGAAATGGATGAATCTCGAAAGAAACTATCCTCGCTTCTTGATATGGATTTTTCTTCATTGATTTGCTTCAAAGACCTTGACGAACTCGCAACTCTAGCGTCCAAACTACAGAAGGATCCTACACTTAATGCTGCACAACTCGTGAAACTGAAGTTAATAGAAGAGATTCCAACATTCGCCGTCACGTTTCTTGAGAATAGGGAATTAGTAATGCATCAGGCAGACAAGTTCGTCGTAGCCCTAGAGGGCAACAAGGCCAAGGTTACTTCACTGAAACAAGAGTACCGTGAGATAAAACAAGTAGTAATAAATCTGCAGTCCAAGGTAGATTCCACCACAATGGCCGTGCAAGATATTGGCAATCAGCTTGCACAGCTCGAAGCTCGCCGTGCCGAGGTCACAAGACTGATAGATAAGAAGAGACAGAGATGAATCGATACATAACCAAAAGTTGGTGGTGAACTCCATTCTGAAAGTCGTACACGAAGTTCAGCTCGTTAACACCAAAGAACCGGAATGGGAGCTAAAGTAGGAAAGCGGAATAATGCGTGAAGCCGAATACTTGATAATTTTGCTCCTCTAAAAGGTTTTCCCTTTGGGAAAAAAACAACGAAGTCATCATTGTCTGCTTAGGTTGATTGTTTTGAACACCATAGCCGTATGAAACTGCTATGTTGTAGTGCTTTAAACTTTAGCAACGGGGGGTGTTGAAACTCAAACTGACACTCTCAATTACTCTTATATATAGTTTATGTCATTTCACTCGTGATACGAATTCAATCGAAATTGTGTTAAATATATCAAATATGGATCATATGATTTCTTGGACAATTGATTCTTTATAACATTGGTACAAGGAATAATAGCATCATAGGCATGAATGGGGCATTCATAAAGCCTGGATTCACCCATTTAGTTGTTAATTTCATTCAAGACAAGAATATAGATGCTTCTAAAGTGATGTATTAGTGATTGTGAAAGAATCTTTACCTTTAGCCAAAAGCAACAACCTTACCACAGTCAAAATTATAGCAAATAAAAGGATTTCCAATTTCTAGAAAACCATTTGTAAGTAAAAGTTATGTTACTCTGATCCGGGTGAAAGCACCAAACATCGATACGTATTCCGTACGAGTATGCCGTGCTCGAATTGAGATATACGTCAAACATGGGTGCCGAATACAGATTTGCAGACTATGTCCAACCAGCATGGTTAGAAGGATAGGTTTATGTCAACGTCAGAAGAAATGCATGATATGTTCCGATTTCGTAACTTATTGCAGTAAATAAAGACGAGGATGCAGGTCCAGCAACCACTGACAATCATAATATAAATCAATATGAAGTGTATAATGGCAAGCAAAGAGGAGATAAAGATGTCACAATTGTCTTTTTGGATCAATGAATTGATGACCAAAAGGCAAAAATTGATAACTATTTGACATTATGAATCAACAAATTGACTTTCTTTAAGATTACTTTAGAGAAAGAAAGATATCAACAAAAAGACTCATCATAATATGAAAAAGAATGAATGTATGAATGAATAAAAGACCATGTGGACCAAAAGCATAGATTCTTTACCACAGGGCAAGAAAGGGAACCAATTCTCAACATCAGCATCCCAAAGTAACTTGTTGCTTTACCATGTTTCTGGTTGAGTTTCAACCAAGGCTGTAAACAAGAATGTGGGTTCATAAAATGCCACAAATCTCTAAGACGAAACCGGAAAGCAATCATTTTGGTAATCACTACCTTGCAATGCTAACAAACATGTTATGCATATGTTGTTAACAAACAAAAACATACCCAAAACAATCCGCACCTAAAGGAGGCCTTTAACAGCTTCCCATAAGCCTAAATAGGGGATGAGAAACAAGAAGATCCCAACTTCAACCAAGAACATAACCAACCAGTTTATGCCGATTTTCGTTTCCACAAAAATAAAACAAAAACAAGAAAGAAAACATCCACAACCATGTTTATGATCATTTTCACATGGTTAAGAACTTATGCAAAGCATTTACTTTCCATGAACATATCTTAGACCTTTCCTGGCCTAATGAAACACAATGCACCATAAGCAGCCGTGATATACACAACCATAAACATAAAACAACTGTTTTACTGCAAATAACAAAAGCCAGCTTCATCCTCAATTAAATATCACCAAGATCATGCCAATAGAATCATCTAATACAACAATAAAACATAACAATGCCAAGAAAAACATGACATTCCCCATCATTCAAAGAACAATTCTTGATTAGATTAAGCAATAATAAAAGGTAACCATACAAAAAAGGATTAAGCTCCACCAGTGACCTTGAAAAACTAAATGAAACAACATGCAATTAAAGAAAAACGGAGCAAATGATTCCATTGTTATTACTTACTGTACAAGAACAAGCCTATTATTATTGCTATTACCATTTTCCATGCCTCCTCTAAACTCCCTATTCCCTTCACCTCCACCTCCTTCTTCCACTTCCCCTCCCTTCGGCACCGTCACAATCAGCTCTCCGTCCGCGTAAACCGCACTTGCGAGCTCCGGACGAGTGGTCTCCGGTAGCCTGAACCTCCACATGTCGAGGTCCAAATCATCCAGCAAACCGAAATCCACCAAGCTGGTAGACCTTATCACAATCTTAGTAATCCCAGGATGGATTTCCACGGTATGAGCCCTGACGACATCTCCAATCCTCCCATCGGTTTCGGCGACGAACTTGAAGCAGTCGGGGCTCTCCTCCACCGCCACGTCGGCATCGGACCTAAAAGGCAGCTCGAGGACGCGGCTGAAGATGTGGGGCAGCCTACGGAGCTTCTTGTTGGACAGACCGCCGCCGTTCAACAAGGACTCGGCTTGGGACCTCGCGGTCCTCGGGTTCATCACATATTGGATGGTGATGTTCCTCCTCTTCGGCAACGGGTGGATTCTCATGATGCTACTGCTTGAGGGTATTCGGGATTTGGGTTTCTGGGGTTTTTCACAAATATTTGACCAGCTGGGAGTGAATCGTGAACGACTGAAAACAAAGGAGGAAGCTTGGCACAAGATTAATAGTAACAACAACAACGACAAAGATGCTTTCTTGGAGAAAAGTGAAGAAATTCGGAAGGAATCAAAATCCTGATCAAGTTGTGGAGTGGAAAAGGTGAAATCATAAAAAGCAACGGTGTCAATTCATCATTTCTTTTTTGGGAAGATCTTGACAATACCCTCAAAAGGGTTAATGGAAAACACAAAGATAGAAGGAAAGATTATGAGAAAAATTAGTTCTTTGAGATCGAGTGTAGAAAAGGGTAATCAAATTTCGGGTGAATTGAATTCCTTTTCGCAAGAACAGGGAAATTTATTTTCCCGAAAAACGCTTAAATCTGGTTTTTATGTAAGGGTTTGCTGGAATCAAAAGATAAAAAAAACTTAGAGCCATTGGATAATTATAGACGGAAAATAGAATACAAAGAAAGTAGGTTTTGGTTAATAGTCCCTTAATTCTAGAAAATTTACATATCAACCCCATTTTTCTCTGTAAAGACTACTATTTAGCGACGTTGAGATAAGTAAAACTTGACTTGAAAAGTTGATTTTTTAACTTAAAAAATTGATTTTTTGGCTCGAAAAAATTTAATTTGAATTAATTTTGAGTTGTAATTTCATAAATTCGACTCAAAAAAGTTTAAGTTCAAATCGAGTTGTGAATAACTCGAATAACTCAAAAGTTTTAGTAATTAGTAGATTGATTTTCAAGTTTGAGTCAAGTCCCTAAACTCTATATGATATATATATGGAAAATATGAAAAATATATGTATTGTATATAATTATAAAAATCATTTAAATTAGAATCAAAGACTAATCATAATATTAAATATTTTCAATTAAATTTAAATACAAATTTGAAATTCAACTCGACTTGACTAGAAAATTTTCAAATCAAGTCGAAGTTATAAAATATGACTCTTCAACTCGATTTTTTTTAACTTGACTCGATTTGAATCAATTGAACACTCACCCCTAATTATTGTTAGGATGGTTATGAGATTCAAATTTTATCTGTTTTGATTTTATAAGATTATTACTTTTTAAATATGATAGGATTTAAATTTAGAGTAAAAATTCAATCTAATCCGAATAATAATGTAATTATTTCTTTGATTTTATAGATAATTGTAATATCTCTTTGTATTTTTTCAATTAAGCACTTAATTTATTGAATAAAAATAAGATATATATATATATATATATATATATATATATATATATAAATTCAAACATAGACTATATTATTTGAATAAATATTTATAAATTAAAAATATAAATTATGAAATAAATTAAAAATATTTAAAAATAATAATTTAACTTTAAAGTCGTAAACATTCCGTACTTGGTAGAAGGATTCAGAAAGTTTTGCAGACAAGGACAGCGGATGAAGGTGCCATGATCTTTCCGATAAACAGGATATGGTTTCATTATAAACCAGGAAAAAATACTCATATATACATAAAAACATATTTTAGTTTTTATATTATATTTACATCGTATTTAAAATTATTGATTACAGTTTTAGTATGAAAAAAATATTATTCTCTTTAAAGATTTTAAGTTTAAGCAATTATTTATGTGAGATGCGTCGAGAATGGACATAGAATTTAATGTTAAGAGACTAACTTTAAATTTTAGTTGGAGAATAATTTATAAAATTACATGAGGAAAACAGACTTTCTATTGGAAGTCTTGAAAGGCAAAAACAAAAAAATAATAACAGATTTGATGTTTTCAAAAGTTACGGATGCAATTATGGGGTTAATCACATTTACAGCATGATTGTAAGCTGCTTTTAAGACTTTATCCGTCTTTATAAGCACCCAAAGTTAAGTTGAGAAAAAAGGATCCGACTTTAAGCTTGTGATACATCATTTAACATTGATGCAATCGTGTTTTAGTGATGTTCTGCATTTTTCTTTCTTTCAAATCTGCAATCCATTCCTTCAAAAAAAAAAAAGCATACCTTTTAACGTGATCATGTTAAGGCACTAGAAAAAAGGGAAATAAGAAAGAAAGATGGTTTTGTTGAACCCAAAAAAATAATCCCAGAATGTCTGGTTGGTGTTTGATAAAATTTCTGGTCGAGAATATTGATGCATGGTGGATGTTTGAGAGCAAAGACGAGTTACCGAACATAGGTCGACTGCTTATGGAAAACTTCGGTGAGCTGATTAATAATTATTATTGGGGGTATAACAAGGTGCAATTTAGATAATGATTTTGAGTAATCAAATGTTGAATACAATTTTTTTAATTGTGAAAGCTATAGTTTTACTTTCTCATTATCAAGTAAATTGTGTTTTGTTATTTTATTCAACTTAAATTGAATATGGTATAATATTATATTTTCTTTAGCACTTGTTCTTGTTATGTTCAGCAACTTATTCTAAAGTATACAGTGCATTAGATGCATTGGAGCTTCATGAGATGAAGAGGGCTAATATTGAGCATAAGTTTATTCTTTTCCTGTATTCTTTCTGCTTATTGTCAATGTCGTGCAGGGAATCTAAATAATGGGAAAGCAGTGCATGACTGCATTATTCAAAAAGATAGTTCTGTTATGGCCATGTCTGCAAGTTGTGGTTGCATGGATATGGCTCAGCAATTGTTTGGTCACATGACACCGTTGTAATTGTTTGGTTGAGGATGCCTGACACCGTTGTAAGGGTCATGTGATTGAACTCGAGAATTTTTTTAATCGTTTGGGCCGAACGCTCTAGGAAGGAAACCTGATCAGGTAAAATTTCTGAGTGATATACCAGTTCATGTGCATCTTGCTGTATTAGATAACCAAATGGACACATGTATGTGTCGATTTGAACTGTTTTGGAGGATCTTTGCCTATTGATAATACTCATTGATATGTGTTCTAAATGTGGGAGTTTAGAAAGAGCAAGAGGAGTTTTTTTTTTTTTGAGAAAATTACAAGAACAAATGTAATATCTTCGACTAGTATGATCAACACACTTGGCATAGATGGGGATGCCAATAATGCTCTAGGCTTCTTTCATGAAATGAGAGAGGCCCATGTTGAGTCCATTGATGAGTGTGTTTACGCTCGTATCCATGCTCTAGGTTTTTGCATCCATGATTCCTCCTAAACCTGAACTTACCACTGTATGGTCAATCGTTTCTTTCATGCTAACCTCGAGTGTAGTTGTTGATAGGGATGTAAATGAACATAACATTCGGTGACATGTTCGTATAACGGTAGTTTGTTAAGCTAAATAAACGAGTATGAGCAAACGAACAGATGTGTGTTTAGTTCGTTTATGTTCACGAACAAGCTCATTTATAAACTCATTTTAGAATATCTAAGGTGTATCTAAGGAAAAGGCATGATTTTAGTGGCAGATAGGAATTGAAACAAGCATGGGCTGGTTATTGAATTGAAGCTGCTAGGTTATGCTCCTAATACCCATAGTTGGTGTGTGATCTAGAAGAGGAAGAAAAAAAAGGATGTGGTTCTATGGCATAGTGAGAAATTAGCACTCGGTCATGTGCTCATCAATGGGGAAACCTATGTTACTCGATTAGTGTGTGAGTATACGGTAATATGTATCTGTCTCGTCTTATATACATTCCTACATATAAAAGATGTTTAGAGCTATATCTTCGTATCCAGGAGCCGGCCAATGGTATTTCAAGACTACCAGTGACATCTCTTGAGCCTTTCTTCTGCATTTTTTTTATCTTAAACAGAGAGATTCTACAATGGCTAAGTATTCTCTGCTTTGAAGTGATTGGTGTTTTTTGATGTTACAAATTGTGACCAGTAGTCTTGCATCTGTTTACATCAATGGCCTAATCCAGCGGACTTGTTGCTTCCAACTTGTATAGAAAATTTGTCTGAGTCCGAGAACATGTCATAACACATATCGAACATCTTACAATGATATTATTTAAGATTTAAAGCTTCAGATACAAGTAAAAAACTTATCTGATTATATATTCCTCTCACCACCAAGATCATGCAATGGCTTTGCATCTTATTGCTAAGGAACATTTTACTTTTTCAAAATCAGGTTACTGCTTGGAGTGGGAAATTATTGAACCAAATGGAAATATTGTTGGTCTAGTCTTTTCTAGTGTAGTGGAAAGTTGATCTTTACTGCTTTATTATAATACTGAAAAGTTGAGATTTTGTTGCTGATTTTCACTGTCTGAGAATCAATTAAGCCAATAGCTCATTCTCCATGAACAAAGATGAATGGAAAACCATCATAAACAAATATGTCATGGGAAAAAAATTTGAGTTTTGCTGGATGTTTGAATCGAAGTTAAGATCTTGAAAAAAAAAACCTTTTTCTTCTCTCTTTGAACAGGAAAAGAAAAGATGGGAAGAAAATGCATACTATATCAACTTTGAGGTAAGAAAAGAAAAGAAAAGGAGGAAGAAGCCTTCATTGAAATAACATCTCCTGCACAGGAAAAGTTGTAAAAGGTAGAGCTACCAATAGTATTCCATCTAAGGTAAAGGCCTTTCCTCTTCTTTTTCTTTTGTTTTTGGGAGCAATTAGTACAGTTTTGTGGTAGCTGATCTAGTGAACTTCTTAGAAGAAGAAGGTGAATTATCTCCTGACCTTCTCAGCAACTGCCTCATACCGTCGGCGACTCGAACTGCCGGATTGGATTTGGATTTGCCACAGAACGACATATGAGCTTCAACAGCTTCTTCAACACCGAATTGCTTCTTCTTGCTCCTACTCACTTCATCTCTAACAGCTTCTGAGCATAAACCACAGAGCCATTTCCCATCGAATTTGGCCTTAACACCATTGATGTAATCTTGGGTGCAATCTTCTTTCAATCCACAACACTCGCATCTAACTGATTCAATCTCCATTTTTCCTTCTCCCAACTTCGCTTCAAGGTTGAAGAAGGATGGGGTCAACTTCTTTTGTTTCTTCCTAGTTATAAAACAAAGTGTTTGATGGTGTTAAGGCTGTTTTTATAGTTGGATTTGATTGGTTTTGTAGGTACAAGAAGTGTAAGAACATGTTTGGTATTTGCATGAGAGGTAGCTTTTATGGTAAAATTTGAAAGAAAAGGGCTTTGGAGTTTAGCTGATAGGGGAGGAAGATTCCATTATCTACTCCATGTTCTAAGGGACAAGGCCAAGCGGAAATTGTGACAATTTAGTCGGGTAGGGAGGGCTAGGCATAGGGGGAAAATTATTAGATGGACTCAGTTTACCACGTTATTTGTGGTCTTAACCAATAAAATCCATTCATTTTATTTTTTAAGGCAAATCTTCGCATCTTTTATACATATAGACAAGGAATGACTAGTTATTTAGAAATTATTTTTGAGATTGATGAATTTTATTATCTAGGACTATATATAACGTGATGAATCAAGTTCATGTAATAATTTCTCGATACAAGGGCCTTTCTAGCATTAAAAACTCCACCAATAATTTTTTTCTAAAATAATATTTATCCTTATGTCGTGTCATCATATGAGATAATTATGTTTGGGTCAAGATGATATTCATATAAAACTCTTTTAATGATAATTTTCGAACAACCAACATCCTAATGTAATTTTAGGAACACAATAATCTTAATTAAATAAAATTATAGATTATTAAATAATATCATTTTTCTTAATTAATTTATTTATCAAACAGATTTTGATATATTTGAACAATATATATATATAAAGAAAAGTAATTGGCTATCATAATTATATGTGGTTGCAACCAACCAATTTGACTATAAAATCCAAAAGAAATTATATAATAATTCTTTCTTACCAAACAAACTACCCAAAGGGCTTTTATATTTAATTAGTATTTAATTAAGTTGGTGCAATACTTTTTTACAAAATAATTAGGGGTAAGAATTAAATTTATTAAAAATTCTAATTTAAAATCAACTGGTTAATTCAGGTGGTAAGCAGTTTGATATTACTTAAGTATGTCTCAAGTTCAAGGCCTTGTAAATGTAGAAGATCATCGCTAGGAAATTCACCCACTAAAGTCAAATATGCGACACGAGTTATATATATATATGCTTAAATATTTCTCGAGTTCGAAACCTTATGTATGTAGAATATCCTTGTTAGTAAATTCACCCACTAAAATCAGATGTACGACACGAATTTTGTATATATATATATCTTTATTGTTTTTTTATGGGTTCGAGTTTTCTTATATATGTTATCAATAAATATGAATCCTTTTTGTACAAACTTTAATCATGGATTCCAATTAGCAATGATGTGTGTGTATTTAGCCAAATTTTAAAGCAATTACAAGACTAGGAATTCAACCCTAGAATCTATACACATGGGTTAGTTACAATCATCCATTTGATTTGGCATTATTTGGTGGGTTTATTTGTTTTTAATACATTATCCCGATAAATAAATTTACACATAAAATATTAATTTGATCCAAAAACACATGAATACATTCTACAAAATGAATTTGAATTAATTTATTATATATATATATTTTGACTCGATCAAATTTATTGTATTATGTTATGATAACATATATAGGAATTATCCTCTTAGTATATATAGGTTTTGTTACAAATATAGTTTAAAAGGGTATTCTTGATGTTACGACTCAACTCACTGTTGAGTCATATCATGAGAATATAAATCGAAATTATCTTCTTTAAATATATATCGATCTTTTAAAATTTTGCATATCAACTATTAGAAAATCTTAATTCATAAATTTGAGTCATATTTGAAATATTCTTAAGGTGGTCATGGATAGAATCATATAAAATATTAGAAAGATTAAATCGTTTTACATCAAAAACCCTAATTCAGTAATTTGTGTCATATTTGAAGTATTCTTAACATGACTAATGGAATGAACATGAACGAAATCAGATCGAACATTCGAAAAAGTTAAAATCATTTTACATCAAAAAATTTAATTCACTAGTTTTATGTCATATTTGAAGTATTCTTCAAGTAGCTAATAGAATAAACATATAAAATCTAGATTAAATATTAATTTTTTTTAAATCTTTTACATCAAAAACCTTAATTTACTACCAACCGGTTTGGTTCAAGTGGCAAGCAACTTGATATTGCTTAAGCAGGAATCAAATTTGATGCCTTGTATAAACAGAAAATCTCTGTTGGGAAACTTATTCACCAAAATCAGGTGTACGACACAAATTAATATGAATTAATGAGGACAATGCTCTAAGGAAATGGGAGAGGAGAGAAGAAGAAAAAAACCTAATTTACTTCTGTGCATGTTATGAACGTAAAGTATCGGCCAACAACACAATGTCCAGCTGACCCATGTGAACCCCAAAATACCGGTCAAAATTTGTCCTCAACCAACAAAGGAACAAGAGCATGCCCTAGGCATGAGATTCAATTAAATATAGGAAAATGATGGTATGTTCATTATTTTTTAATTTTAATATTTTTATCAATATTTACTTCAATTATATATATATATATATATATTGTTTAATATTATGATTTTTTGAAAAAAAAAAATCTAGATTTAGTTAAACTTATGTACTAATATAAATTATGTTGTTGGAATTCAAATTAATCAAAAAGAATAACATTTTTTATTATTGGAACCACTTTTTAAATTCATTAATATTATAATATTTATATGTTATTTAAAGGTTCACATACAAACCATGGCCAAGCACGTGGAGTTATTGAGGTGATATCAACTCTAACATGCAAGTAATTGCCTGGTACACATCTAGAAATTCCGATGTCCATCACGGTGTTCTCAATGAATGTCTCGAGTCTCTCGAGACAATTATGATTATATACACGAATTAACTTAATTCATATTTAAAAAAATTGTTGTTATTTTTAAATGTTATGAGATCGAGCACTAATAACTCTAAAAATAATTAAGTGTTCATTATCAAATGAAACAATAATATTATAACAATAATATTATTAACCAAGTTAAAATATAATCGATATATATATAAAAATATCGGATAACATTCATATGAAACTTTGCTTTTTTTCTTTCCATTTGTAGGTATTACCCAACTACATTAATAGAGCAGGCATGGCATTTATCATTTGGAGACACTCCTACAACGTGTTTTCATTGAAATCTTTGTTTTCTTATTTAATATTATCAAATTTAATTTATTGAGTGAACTTAGTGATTAAAAGAAGTATCGTTCTTTCTTAAAATCATAAGTTCGAATAGTTGCGTTTGCAGATTGTGTGCATGTTATTAATAGTTAAAAAAATATTATAAACATATACAATGGCGGATGTATATAGAGATGCCCACCTTGAAATCCGAATTTCCTTATATTAGTTAATTTTATTGATGTTGCCACCCTAAATTTTTATTTGTGTCTACCCCATACGAATTTTTTTATTATTAGTATATATGCGTCCACCTTAATAAATATTTTTGGATCCGTCACTAAACATATATTACCTTATAATCACTCTAGATCATTAAAAAAATAATTGTACTAAAATATGGAATAATGAAATATGAAATATCTAAGAAATTAGATAGAGGTCGGTTTGATATTGTCTTTGAAAAATATTTTAAAAAATGCGATCAAAAAATATTTTTTAAAATTACTTTTGAAAAGTTCAATTTACGATTTTAATGTTTGAAGTTAAGGTTAAAAAATACGAGAAGCTAAAATATTCATTTCAGACTTGATATTGTAAAATAAAAATAAGTTATCGTAAGTGATTTTCAAATTCATCAACATTGTGATATATGAAATAAAATTTTAAATTATTAATAAAAATATAAAAAAAATATGACAACTCGTTATATTTTGAATGTAAAATATAAATTTTGATATATAAAATATATAAATTATTGGTTTAAATGAAAAAAAGCTCTCAAATTATGTATATATTTTTTTATATCGGTTTGATATTTCTAAATATTTTCAAGTGGGAGAGGTTTGAATTTTTTCAACACCATCTTAATAGGGAAAAGGGACCAAATTTAAAGCTAATCACATGGACACCACATGCATTCTCTTGCCCTTAATTCCGGGGCTTACTTTCTTTTCCTCCTCCAACTCAATTAATTATATACATCTTCAATAAAATATCTGACTGAGTAGGTATTTAAAGTTAATTAAATATCAATTTTGCATGAATCAAGTGTACGTGATAAATGAATTGTTGTTATTCTTTGAGGGCCAATGTTCGAACATCATATGTTAGGTAGTGATGGGCATAGACCCGGATCCGACGACTTCCGACTCGATAGGGTTGGATTTTTTTTATAAAAAAATTGAGTTTGGGTTGGGTCGGGTCGGGTCTTTTTAGAGGTTGTGTTTGAATCGGGTCGAGTTCTGATTTAGGGTGAAAAAAACCCTACTCAACTCGACCCGAGAAAAATATATAATTTTACTTTTATATTTAGGGATAATTTCAATAATGCCCCTCTATATATTATTTTTTCAATTAAATCCCTATTTTTATTGAATAAAAATAACATTTTTTTAATAAATATATTATTTCAAGTCTAATCGGGTTCGAGTTTTATTTCAAAAGGTTAAATCAGGTTTGGGTCGGGTGGAGGGTATATGTTTCTTGGATCGGGTCGGGTTCGGGTGGAGGATGTATAGTTTTCAGGTTAGGTCGGGTCGGGTTGATCGAAAATCCGACCCCAGCCTACCCATGCCCATCCCTAATGTCAGGGGTGTGAGCATTCAATATCGAGAGGTTGAGAGTTATCTTTGAACAGATATTGCCTTATACTTATCTTAAATTAATAAAAAATTAAATATCAAATTTGTCATAAAATGATTAATTTTAAAAAATAATTAGTATTATAAAATTATTTTTTCTTTCATATTTTTATATAAAATTTAAATAAAATAATTAAAATTTATTATTTAAATATCTAACATAAAATTAATTGATTAATATAGAAATCATTTATCACTTTACATGTAATATTAAAAATATTTTTTATAAAAATGTTTTATTTAAAATATTGTGAAAATATAATATAAAATTATATTACATATGAATATTTTTCTTAAAAGTCTATAAACATGTCTAAAATCATCATGTATCTTTGATTGTCATTATTTTAAAAATATCAAATAAATAAAATACATGAATTTTCTTAAATTCACGCTTAAAAATGATAATATTAATGTA